TTTCTATCCTTCTATCCTTTGTGTTTTTTTATCTTTCTAATGCAAAAATTCAACATTCCAAAAAGAATAAAAAATTGATCTTGCCACAAATGAAATTATAAATTCTGTAAATATTTAATTAATCTTTTAAGCTATTGTGGACAAATTTAAGAAATATTAATAAAGTCTGATGCCATAATAAAGTAAATTAGCAAATAATTATTATTATTAAGCATTTTCTTAAAAACATCATTTGGTACGTTTCTTGAGATGTTGTTAGAAGGAGCTTCAAGCTCAACACAAAAAAACTTTACTTTAAATCAACACTATAATGCTGTAGGTATGAGATGAATCTGCTGGCTTGAGAAGTTTTTTGTTCACTGTGAATAAAGAAATTTTAGTTTACTCTTTTGAAAAGAGTTTTGGAATGTTTTTAAGATTATATATCTAGAATTCTGTCCAGTTAAATTCATAAAATAACAATACAAAAGTCTTGACATTTCTTCTTCTATTGTGAAGAGCTTTAAATCTTTTCAGTTCTCTAAAAAACAGTGTATTTCATTTAATGAAGTCTGTATAATTAGCTGAATAAGATAACTGTAGACTAAGTTTCTAAACGTTTAACCTTATACATACTGATCTAGTCTAGTCTGTTAATCTGAACTAAAAAACAAGATCTGTAGTTCTTTATTAAGACTTTCTGGCTTGTTAAGATTTCATTTGTTGCAGTGTCAGACTCATGCAGTCTGAAGATTCTCCACAGGGGGCACTATAAGAGCCTTTCATAAGAACAATGCTTTGCCTCAGTAACTAGATTTTATGCTAATTTGGCAGATTGATGTAATGAATAAAAATCAGTTTATTTTTACAGCAAATCAAATGAAGCCAAAATTCACCTAAGAGTTTGACACCTACTTAAATACAAAGATACATTATAATACAAAAAAAAATTATGATGCAAACAGATTTGTATAATATTGTAAATGTGAACACAATAAAATGATATGACTGATCAAGTGATTCTGTTTTTGTTCAGCTGTAGATACAGAACTGGACATAAAGCAGCAGATACCAGTGAACTAATCAAGACATTCAAACATACTTTTATGATGATTATATAATAAAATATGGTCGTATTAAACAAAACAGCAGTGAGAAGTTACTCAGTATTAAAGATTTCTCTGTAAATTAGGAGCAGATTCCTCAGAAGTGTTTCTGAACCTGATGTAGAGTTTATTCTCTTGTACAGAGCTGATAGAAACTAGCAGAACTTTCTGTAACATTTCAGTTACTCGCTTGAGTTCATTTCTACAGCTGGCTGGAAAACTGGTTAATGACACTGTGAGCTCTCAGCTGTGTCTCTAAGTTAAGTGTGGAGCTCTCGACCAGTACATCATTGAATGCTACACCACTTTCTTCAAAAGCAGGCAAGAAATGTCATACAGAGAATTGAGATGACTTCCACATCTTTAATTACCCACAATCCTTCACACAGGTTTGTGATAAAATGCTATAAAATGTTCAAACAGAATGACAATAAATTTATTTTGCAAATCGTTGTATATTGTAATTATTATTGTTTTAAAGCATTAACACAGTTTATCAACCCAAACTGGTAACTTCAGGTTTTACCACACAGCTGTGCATTAAACTTAATCTGGTTGCTCTGTCAAAACAAGCACAAGTCTACCTGATACACCACCAAACTACGGCTAAACGAGATGTGTACTTTCAAATTACATCACATTCTGTCCAAACTAAAACAAAACCCTGCATGAAAAGGACATATTTTGCTATTTAAAAGCTTTTATGAGTCAATATATTACATGATCATTTCAACACAAATTGTAATCATCCACAGTTCCAGCCTGAAGTCCAGCTGCTCGTGTGCTGTTTGATGCTGTGACTCTGTGACTTGTTTTTGCCCGAAGTATGTTGAGTTTCAAGTATCGTTTACAAGTAAAACTCATCACTAAAACCAGCAATACTGTTAATATCAGTAACACTAGCAGCAGAGGACACTTTCAGCAGATTATACTGCACAGTGCTCACCAGAGGACTGCGCATGAACCAACAAGCAGCAAACTAATGAAAGCAAAAGCAAAGTGGAGTGGTTTGGTGTGAAACGCTCCGTTCACCTGATTTCCTGTTGGTGACGTAGTTTCCTGTTTTTCGAAGTTACTGGCGGGAGTGTTTGCTGTTTTCTCCGCTCTATTTTGCTAGTCTTTTGTGGCTTTTTACATTTTCAATTTGCTGTTGCATATTACTCGCAATTACTTACAACCAACAACCTTCGAAAAGTCACTTCTTCTCTCATCAGATTCACGAGACCCCTGGAAAAGGACCCAATTCAGCCGACGAAACAACGTGAGTATCAGTATGGCAGAACGCGAGCTGTTGCTTTGCTCTGAGTGCAGCATGTTTAGTTATGCTTCTCTCTCCATCACTAGTGACAGCACTAGTGACTATTAGTGAAAAGAGCAGGGCTAGTCAGCAGGGCTCAGACTCACTGTTAGAAGCTCCGGGTGCCTCAGGGAGAGCTAGTACGCCCTCGACTCTGGCAGCAGAGCCCTCACAGCACGGCAATTGGGTGGTGTCTCAGCGGCGTTGCCGCACAGCTAAAGCTAAAGCTACCCCGTGCGAGCACCACTCATCTCCCATTCATGTGGGAGACAGGTTTCCAACAGGTTTGCCGCACTCAGTGAGACACCCTCTGAGACGCCTGTTGAAAGACCTCTGGTTATGGGCGATTCTATTTTATGGCACGTGAAAACAGCTTCTCCCTTAGGGATGCCAGTAGCAGTTAACTGTATACCAGGAGCCAGGACGCCGGACATTGGAGGGAACCTAAAGCTGCTAGCTAGCTATAGATATTCAAGGATAGTCATTCATGTAGGTACTGATGACGTTCATCTGTAGCAGTCAGAAATAACTAAAGATAACATTAAGGTGGTGTGTAAATTAGCCCAGACGATGTCCGATGCCATAATATGCTCTGGCCCCATCCCAGTTCAACATGGCGCCGAAATCTACAGCAGGTTATGGTCGCTAAACTGCTGGTTGTCCAAGTGGTGCTCAGAAAACAATGTAGGATTTGTAGATAATTGGTCTACTCAAATCTGGTATTTTGAGTCAGGACGGTATCCACCCTTTGCAGGAGGGTGCTGCTCTCATTTCATGTAGCATAGCTCGTACTCTCTCAGATAGCCGCCAGTGTAGGACAGTTAGTTGCTGACAAACCAAGGACAGGCAGCAGACAAACAGGCTAAACTGACCGTCTGCGAGCTGCCTTGAGACGCCACATAGGTTCCACTCAATTGAGACTGTCTGTTCCCCGAATAAAACAAAGCATCAAAAATCCTCTAAAACTTTGCTCTAGTAACTTGATTAATATCAGACCAATTATACCAGTTTGCATTGTACCAGTCTATCACATGTTCATTTTTAATGAGATACGATGTGTCTAATACAAAAATAACCAAATGTTCAGTGAGACAAGTATCAGCAGATGGAGTTTACAACAGTTAGAGTTCATTTACTGCACCAGCGTCTCAGAAAACTCGCCTTCTTACATCACCAAACGGAGCCTGACCAACAAAAGATTAAATACTGTGAAAAATATGTAATAATGGACTGATACATATCTGTTTACTGTTCTCTTAAATAGTAAAATAACTGAAAATGGTATGTTGTGTGTCGTTTCTCAGACAACAGCTCATCTTAATGAATCTAAACAATCTGACTGTCCGAGGCAAAGTGGGCTTCCATTACACACCAGCTTGTAGCAGACAGTATCAGAGACAGTAACCCAGAAAAGGGCCTCACAACAGCTATAGCAGCAAACAGGTTATCTAGAGCAGCAGTAACTCTCCTTTGTAGTGCAAGTATATGCAGAACTAGTATTACTGTTTCCCCTTCTGTTAGAGAACCTCTGCTGAGATCTGCCTGCTGTGGGCTGACCAGCTGACCATTCATGCATTTGTTTAAGTGGCTGCTGAACTCGTTGCAGAGTGGAGAATAAAAAAATCCTTCATCCCTCAGTTTGGCGGTTTGGGTGGAACTGAGTACAGAGATCACACTTATATTACAGAGGCACAGTGGTGCAGTGGGTGGCACTGTTGCATCACAGCAAGAAGGGTTTGATTCCCCAGCTGGTGACCGCAGTCCTATCTGTGGGGAGTTTGCATGTTCTCCACGTGTCTGTGTGGGTTTCCTCTGGGTTCTCTGGTTTCCTCCCACAGCCCAGAGACGTGCAGTCAGGCGAATTAGAGATGCTGAATTGCCCCTGCATGTGAATGTTTATGTGAGCGTACATGGACTGGTGACCTGCCCAGGGTGCTTCCTGCCTTCCACCTAGTGACTGCTGGGATAGGCTCCAGGACCCGCCACCGTGACCGAGGAGGATAAGTGTCTTATATTAGTGTGTGTGTGTGTGTGTAAAACCCTTTTTTTTCTGTAGCACTCAGCTTGCAGCTTTTCCAAGCAGGCACACACATGAATGTACTGCCCTCTAGAGGCAACTTAGTGCACTTTAATCAACACATACAAGCTCCCAATATCAGTTTTTTTAGCATTGCTTATGTTTGACTCAGTTTTCTGAATAAAAGAGTGGGAGCTTTCAGTTAATTGATCAGAGGGACAAACAATCAAACTGCTGCTACTGATCAGTCTGTGAAGCCATGAGATAAAAACACTAATAAGAAATATGCAGTGACATGATGGACTGGCCATTCAAAACCACAGATATAGACATGCAGTGCATAGAAAACTAAACTCAGATTATAATATCTCATAAATGTAATAATGAGGGCAAGAACCGGCTTAAAGAAAGTAGAGTCTGAGAGCTCTACTCCATTTACACCAGCACACAGGAAAACTATTTAAAAAATGGTATGTGGTCATTTCCTTTATTAACACCACTAAAATAGGTAAACTTGCCACGGAGTGCAGCACTGCAGTCGTGTTCCTACAGACAGAAACACAGCAGCTCAGTGTTTTACTGAGTACTGTATAGATTAGAGATGTCTCAGAGTGATTATGATGATCTGATCTGCTTTGAGGAGCTGAACAGAGCAGACCAAGACGAGAAGGTGGTGGTTGTGTATGAATGTGTAGATAGTGTTAGAGGCCGTGACCCCAACTCAGAGACGGACGACACCAACACAAAGAGAATCCTACAGACAGGTAGGATAACTTTAAGATCAACTTTAGGCTAGTTTTGTAACGTCAGTGTTCTTGGTCAGTGCCAAAACCTAATTTAATTAAAAAGCTGTCATGCATTTAAGCTCATTTCTGAATGACCAGATCCATTTTTAATGACTAAATGTCTCTTAGACCTTATTTACACTTGGTCAGTATCTGGATTGTATCCTTGTAAGATTAAATGCCACATGCATTCACACTTGCTAGTCAAATGCATCTCCGGTTAGTCAGACTGAAATCTGATTGCTGTGTGAGATGCAATATGCAAATCTGCTCGTTACACGGCAACCAATTACCAACTGTTTACTAGTTCAGTCTGTGCTATGCTAAAGCTGTAAGTTGTCTGTAGTTTGCTTTGCACACTAGTGTCTGTCCATGTTACTATTAAGCATTTTGTTTTGTCTGGTCCACAACTGTGTGTTTCCTCCATGATTATTTTCCTCACAGACACAGATCATGTGCCCAATGACGTACTGCATGGGGAGGAGTTTGGGCTGTACTGGGACAGGTTTTGGTTGTTATATGTGTCTTGGAGAGACTAATGTGTTTACACTGCTATAGTGATGATCAAATGCATCTCAGTCCAGCTCCTGAACACTTTACAGTACCTTCATTGAAATCAAAATGTTTATCGAAATCAGCCTCAGACGACAGCAAGAGGATGAGTGGGAGATGCAGGTGTCTCCAGTGTTGTCAAAATAGTCAAGAGAGCCTAGTCAGAGTTTATCTGTACTTAAAACCTGATTACTGGTCATGACCAAAGCATCTCTTTATCTGTTCTCCATAGAGAGCAACACTGCAGGAAGCAGAAACCACAGACTGGCTGCAGTGCATCTGGGGCTGCTGTGTGTTCTCCTGCTGACTGCCATCACACTGCCATGGTTCATGTTCACTGCAGAGAGAGACAACTTACAGACCAGTTACACCAACATGACTACAGACAGAGACCAGTTACAGACCAGTTACACCAACCTGATAAAAGAGAGAGACCAGTTACAAACCAGTAACACCAACCTGGCTAAAGAGAGAGACCAGTTACAGAAAGAGAGAGAGGGATTGGAGAGGAAGTTTTCTGAACTGGGTAAGTGATTAAGTGGTTAATGTGATTCTTTAAGTGAGACGTGTTCCTGGATCAGGATCTCTTTGCTGTTCCTGAAACTACATTCTTTTGAACCCATCTGATGTCATCAGTGTGAGTCTGTCTGGTGTTTAGAGACTCTATTTAACTGGTTTACTCTTTATTTTCTCTGTAACTGAATATATTCTGCGAGAATGGCCTGGGTTCGATTCCCGGCCGGGTGACCAGGGTCATTTCTGTGTGGAGTTTGCCTGTTCTCCCTTTGTCTGCGTGGGTTTCTTCCGGGTACTCCGGTTTCCTCCCACAGTCCTAAAACATGCAGTTAAGCTAAATGGACACGCTAAATTGCCCCTAGGTGTGTGTGTGAGTGTGAATGTCTGTCTGCCCTGCGATGGACTGGCGACCTGTCCAGGGTGTATCCTGCCTTCCGCCCAATGACAGCTGGGATAGGCTCCAGCACCCCACCGCGACCCAGAAGGATAAGCAGTTTAGATGATTTATGCATGTATGAATATATTCTACTCTTACTAGAGTAGGCTAAGCAAGTCAGGACAGATAGCTAAGATGCTAACAGGCTAATACAATAATAATAATAAAAGATAATTTATTACTTTAATCTGCAACATAAAAAAAACACATTTATCACTCACTTTTGTTCTTGATAAAATCACTGAATAATAATCAAGTGGCATTAAAATAAAAATGTTTTTTATTTTGTGAGTACTAAGAATAAACCTCACTCCAGGTCTAAGATCTTCTTTATGATCGACTGGTTTAATGACGTGTCAGTTTGAATTCAATACCAACCAGGTCACTGAATGAAAGAAGGTAGGAGAAGATCTGATGACTTTACATCTTCACTTTTCAAATCTTCTCCACACTCCTGCCATGTTCACACATTGCCCCCACAACAGTCACAGGTATAACACCCTCTTCATACTCTTAAACAGATAATAATAAACAGATGATAGTTAATAAACAGATGATAGTTCTGTGTCAAAATCTGCATATCACTCAAAGAAGGCGGCTACTTTAGTAATGTTTCTGGATTAAGATTACTATTGCCTACCTGTTAGCAAGCTAACCCATTAGCCTAACATTATGCTAGCTAAATAGCATTAGAAAAGGCTAGTAAGTGTTCTTGTACAAAAGTGTGATCAGCTGATGGTTTAATAAGTCTATTCAGTTGTGTGTCATTGAACTACTCGTGTGTCTTCTTGGCTAAGAAGTTGTTCATTGACAAAAACAGACAATCCTACACGGCCTCTAACAGCCTCACAGGGAATATCAGAGAGTTTATAAGGGAACAATTTCATATTAGTTTGTAAGAGAGCAGATTTTTTGAGTTTACTGTTGGTTCTTCAATTTCTTTTTGTGTGACTCACTGAATATGATTAATTATTAGTACTAAGGTTGTAATTTACATGTTAGATTAGTTGATGGTTATGTGAAGTCACTGTGATCACCAGTAGTATCTGAGATCTTGTTACCAGGGCCTTTTGAATTCTATATATTGTGTTCATTGACCTCATAAAAACACTAATGATACCAACATCTGATACCAGCTGATACCATGCGACACAAGCTGAGTGTAGCTGCTGCGCTAATGAACAAATGACTCAAGGACAGCAAGTTGCTCATACAGAAGTCAGTTCATTGTTCTGCTGTGCTGGTTGTAAAGTTTACACTGGCAGTGTGGGGGGTGGGAGCAGTGGTTGGTTCAGGGGTGGTGAGGCTGGCCTATAGTCCCTCGGGCCTCTGAGCACGAGCTGATAAAGCATATGGGATGATCTGCACCTGCTTCCTACAGAATACTAGTGATTTATTACAGCTTCCTACTGAATACTAGTGATTTATTACAGCTTCCTACTAATTACTTAAAATATGACATTACACTGAATTTACTTCCATCATATTACAACCAAATCAGTTTTATCTTGATGAAAACACTGATTCCAAACTTTTGATCACTGATTCTTAACTTTTCTAGTTTTGTATTTCAACATTATTGGTCATTACAGATGTTTCTTTGTTTATACAGCCTTGTTCTTCTGTATGACTGAAGAAACAAAAACACGTTTTATTTTAGAGCAGATGACTTGTGGGCAGAGTTTCGGCTGCATTGCCTTGGTGATGCTTCCTCTTGTGCTTCCTCTGGTGTTCACGCTGGTGTGTCCAGTGTGACGTCTTCTTGTGAATGTCAAAAGGTCTACTTACTTTACCAAATATGAGTCATCACACTCAGTCAGCAGTGCTGGGAGTGTTATTTGAAAAAATGTGTTAATATCAGGCCATATATGAAGAACACCCACATGACCCAAATCATGTGACCACCACTTAATGATTCCCACAGCACTGGCTACTCAGGAAATGTTCGCTCGATCAGAGTTTAGATGTCGCCATAACCACAGACCAAAAGAAAAGTATGCAGTTGAAGGTGCTGTCACACATACATCCACCCCTAACTCTCCGGTGGACTCCATTTCCCAGAGCTCTGATTATTGAGTTGTTTCACCTACTTTTGTATATCATGTAATTAGCATTTAAGCCTGGGCTTTAGGTTAGCTCAGTGTGAGGTATTGCTTCTATTTCAGAGCTACTGAGCGGCCTTTCTTGTGTTTTGGTTGTTTGATTCTGATCCTGACTTTTCTTCTGAATTTTCGACTTTGCCTTTTGCCTGCCCCTTTTTTGTTTTTGTGGATTTTGTCTGGCTGGTCTGATTTGTGTTATGTTTTTGTACGTGTATATTTGTTCTACTTGTATATCTTTTCACAAGGCCACTGTAGAACATGGCCACTTGTTAGGATGACATCAGCAAGTACTAGCAGGGGTTACGCAATCACTCGAGTCTCTAGCTCAACAGCAGTCAGAGCAGCAGGCTCACCTGGTACAGCTCGTGGCTCACGTTAAGGGTCTTGCTACCCAACTTCAAAATTTGAGTGCTACTGACCAAGTGGAAAGCCCTGCCAGCCCTCCTACTCCTGTGGAATCTTCCAGTTCACTCTTCCCTGTGAATAAACCAGATAAATTTGATTAAAACCCAGACCAATACCATGGATTTTTGCTCCACTGTTGTCTTTTTTAATAATTCCTCTGCAAGTTCTGACCAGACAAAGATTTCCTTTTTGGTTTCACACCTGTCTCATTAGAATGAGCAACTGCAAGCTGGCCTCAGGTTCTTTTCAGGTTTTTGAAGGAATTCTAAACTGCATTTGATCACCATTATGAGGGCAAGATAAGTGGTGAACTGATGATGAAACTATGCCGTAATTGCTCAGTTTAATTCTGAAATTCTAACAGAGTCAGCTTACAAGGATGACAATTTGGCTTTAGACCAACTCATCACTCTGTCAATTCATCTGGATCAACTCAATAATGACCACAGAAAATGAAGAGCCAACAGTTTCAAGTGGACAGTCTCACATTCAAGGGCACCATGTGATTCCGGTGATAACAAGGACTAAGAGGAACCTAAGCAATGTGATTCATAATGTTTGTCCAAGGAGGAGAGGTTCCATCAGCTGAGAGATGGGCTGTGCATGTACTTGTGGCAGTGCTGGTCATATTCTGAGTGACTGCAGGGTCCGTCCACAGAAACTTCTGGCGCCAACCCCTGGAAAGCACATGGACAATACTCCCCATGCTAATGTGTTGAGTGTTCCCACAAATGGGTTGGTTTTTAAGTCTTTCCTTATGCCTGTCATGGTGTACTGTCATCCAGTTTCTGCTGTAGTTTCAGCCCTGACTGACTCCAGTGCAGAGGGAAACTTCATCCATGCACGACTCGTAGAGGACCTGCAGATTCCAGGGGAAGCTCTAAAGTCCCCTTTAAGAATAGGAGCATTAGACAGGGGACCTGCTGGAGCTGGAAAAAAACAAGCCAGTGCAATTGAAAATGAGTGCTTTCCACATTTGTTCAAAATTCAATATTATTTTGATATTCGACATTAGATATTACATATTAGTGTATTACACTACCCATGTTAGTTTTCAGGTCCATTTCAATAGAAAGTTCTAATGCTGAGGCCCTCGTTGACATCCCTCCTGAGTATGCAGACCTCAGAGAAGTTTTCCATAAAGGGATTGCCACAACTACCTCCTCATCCCCTATGACTGTGTTATAGATCTTACTGACAACCCAGTCCTTCCTAAATCCAGAATTTACCCTCTAACTCTGGAGGAGGAACGTGCCATGGACACGTACATTCTGGAGGCTTTAGATCAGGGTTTCATTAGACCTTCTTCTTCTCCTGCAGCTTCTGGTTTCTTCTTTGTTAAAAAAAAGATGGAGGTTTGCACCCTTGCATAGATTACAGAGGACCAGATTACAAAGAAATACCCTTATCCACTTTCCCTCATCCCCGTAACTCTTGAACAGTTACAGGGAGCCAAGTACTTCACCAAATAAGACCCAAAAAGCGCATACAACCTAGTACGAATAAAAGAGGGAGATGAATGGAAGACAGCTTTTGTGACCACTAGGGAGCATTTTTATGATACCTTATCAGCTCCAGGTCAGTCATTATGGATGATCATAAAGCTGATGCATCTGTAAACTTGCCCAGGCATCTCTCAGTCAAGAAACTACAAAGGTTCCTAGGGTTTGCTGATTTCCATAGACACTTCAGTAGTATTGCTGTGCCCCTTAAAGAGGCATTTACGACAGCTCTCATTCTGATCCCACAGAACCATTTGTAGTTGAAGTAGGTACTTCAGAGACTGGTACTGGGGCTGTTCTTTCTCAACATTCTGGCAACCCCCTAAGTTGCAAGCCTATAGCATTTTACTCTCATAAGCTCACACCTACAGAAAGAAACTACGGGAAAGGAGACAGAGAATTGTCAGCAGTCAAACTGGCCTTAGAAGAATGGAGACATTAGCTAGAGGATGCTGATCATCCCTACATAGTACTGACTGACCGCAAGAACTTAGAATACCTACGTAATGTTAAACGTCTTAACTCTCGTCAAGCCTGGTGGTCTCTGTTTTTCTCTATATTCTGTTTTAGCATCACATATCGGAAATAGATGATGAGATCGAGAGGGTCCTAGAAAATATCACGATCACCAGTCAGTGCCTTACTGTAAAGATTTATGTACCAGATTGGTTCTGCAACAGTCTAATTACTTGGGTCCATTCATCCCTCACAACGAGCCATCCAGGGAAAACTCGCACTCAACAATCACTCTCTAATCCATACTGGTGGGAATCCATGAATAAAGACGTCCATGAGTTCGTTGCTTTTTGTTCCACCTGCTCTCAATCTAAAACTCCTAACACACGACCAGCTGGAAAACTAGTTCCTTTACCCATCAGACCTTGGTCACACAAAGCCATAGACTTTGTTATTAATCTGACTCACATGGTTTGACAACTATTCTCACAGAAGTGGACAGATTTTCACGAAGCGTCAGGTTTATCCTATTTGCTTCTCTCCCCGCAGCATTGAGACACTGAGTGACTGAGACATTAGTGAATCAGGTATTTAGGTATTTCGGAATCCCTGAGAACATTCTCTCAGATAAGGGCCCACAGTTCACCTCACAAGTCTGGTTGGCCTTTTTTGAACACATAGGGGTATCAGTCAGTTTGATGTCAGGGTATCACCCTCAATCTAACAGACAATGTGAACGTGTTTACCAAGAGCTGGGAAGGTTTTTGAGATTGTTTTGCCACAACAACCCTAGGGACTGGTCATGCTTTTTCATGTGGGCTGAAATCGCCCAAAGTTCATTGATTAATATGGTTTCAGTGTGTATTAGACTACCAACCTTCTGTTGCACCATGGAATGTCATGACCTCTGATGTTCCAGCAGTAGATAATTGGGTGCAGTAGAGTGAGATGGTCTGGGAAGAGAACCACTGGAGTACAGAAGCAGCTTTACAATGCAACAAAGAACAAGTAGATTGTCACTGCAGAGAGACTCCTGCCTATTGGCCTGGGCACCGCATTTGGTTCTCCAGATTTGCTCAGAAACATAAGAAACCCCAACCTAAGTATATAGGCCCATTTAAGGTATGTAAAAGGATTAAAGAAGCCACTTATTAACTAGACTTACTCCTCAAAGCTGTTATTCCAGGGACCCTGTCTGTCCAGTGCCACGGCAGCTCTGGGAATGCTGCCTCTGGTTGTGCGCTTGCACAGGAGCAGCTCTAACTTTCTAGTGGACCCCATTTCCCAGAATCTTGTGGGTGAACACATGACTGTGACCTCACACCAATCTGCATATCAGATATGTGCCTCGCCTGATTACTGAGTTGTTTCATCTGCTTTTGTATGTCATGTGATTAGTTTAGTTAGCATTTAAGCCTGGGTTGTAGGTTAGCTCAGTGCAAGGTATTGCTTCTGATTCAGAGCTACTGAGTGGTCTTTCTTGTGTTTTGGTGGTCTGATTTTGGTCCTGACTTATCTTCTGTTTTTTCCACTTCTGCACGCGTCTGACATGTTCCATCACGTTACAGTTGCTTTCTATTAGAAACACTGTCTCCGGGGAGGTCATGTAATTCAGTTGTGCACATACAGTTAGAGTAATCTTCATAGAAAAACAGTGACCAGTAGAATAGAATGCTCTTGACAAGACCAGACTGAGATCCTCTGGTACCCCTGGGTATTAGATTTATGATGCCCCATCTCTGTTTAATCTGCAAATCTGCATCTCACTGTTACACACATCACTAATTCATAGATAGCTTTCTGGAGAGTCATCCTGTTCATGCTTCACAGCTCCTCAGCTCCTCAGCTAAGGCCTTGTCAAAAACCTCTGAGCAGTCACCCAAGTTACCAGTATGGTAGAACTGGCCATGGCTCTGAAATAGTAGCACATTCCCAATGCCAAGCATTGGCTAGAGAGGTACAAGAAAAGGAATGGAGCTCCCTCCAATACTTTTAGATGAGTTTGAGTGATCCAGAACCAATCATCCAACATCAGTACCTGACCTCACTAATGTTACTGCTCTTGTGGCTGAATGCAGTTAAATCCTCACAGCAATGTTTCACTATCTAGTGCAAAAAAGAGAGAACAAACTAACTATTTATACACTTGATTTCAGAAGGAACACTGGATGACTAGGTGTTCACACATTTTTGGACACACAGTGTAAGTCCCTGTGCAACTCCTGTGTCTGCTACTGAGACTATAGTGTGTCGTATCATGAATGCTGAAGTAGACAGGGACATAGTTAGTGGGGGAGCCGGAGGACTGCATCAGCCTGAGATTTCAGGATTGTCTAACTAAAGAGCTAGCTGATCCGCGTTAGCCGAGCTAGCTGATCCGCGTTAGCCGAGCTAGCTGACCCGCGTTAGCCGAGCTAGCTGACCCACGTTAGCCGAGCTAGCTGATCTGAGCAGAACAGGTACCGTCTTTACGGGTTTCTTCTTTCTTTTATAAGCTTCTGTTTATTAAATTTAGAACCTGCTGCATATATTTTATTACAAGTGCCTGTGAGCTACTTTAGGTAACAGGTGTCACCCACAGACTACAGTTTACCCTTTTATACAGACTAGTTTAGTTGCTGTTTTGGAGATCAACGGTCATTTATGGCTGTGATACAAGAAATCTAGTCTAATAACCGGCCTGATCTGATCCCTCCCCACGTCCCCGTTCTCTCTCTTCCTGACTCGCTGTTTCTTTCTTTCTTTCTTTTTCGTTTCTTAACTGTGAGAGGCTGTTTAACAGTCTAATTAAGTAATAATCTCTCTCTCTCTCTCTCTCTCTCTCTCTCTCTCTCTCTCTCTCTTTTCTCTCTCTCTCTGCCTTGGTGTTTTTCTTTAACTGTGAGAGGCTGTGTAGCTTTTTAACTGTGAAATGTTGTAATGTCTGATTCTGTATGAAGTGAACAGCATGATTACTAGTAAAATATATTACAGTAAAAATCTAAGCTGGGTAAATTGCTGATGATGCTGCTGATTTTAATGGTGATATCTGAACAGATATCAAAGAAAATATACAGTCAGAAGGCTGTGAATGTGTTTACTGTCTGTAGGTTCACACGTATTAACTACGTTAGCTAGAGTCCAAGGAGCTGATGGGCAGCAGGACTCTCACTAAAATTACATTAATTAATTAATACATTAATTAAGCAATCTACTTGTAATTTCAACTCAACCAAACTCTGCACAGTCTTTCAGGGATTCTAAAATACTTTATTGGAAACAGATAAACTAGGAAGTTTTATCATCTGACCATGAAACACATGCAGTTTAATGTAAACCTTGTTCCTTACACAGTTCACAGAAAGGTGTGTAAATATTCAGTAGCAGAGTGGACTGTGATCATTCTCAGCTCTCAGAACTTTATTTCCAATGAAGTCAGCTCAGAAATATGCTCAGGTTGTGACAGTGGAAATACAAAAAAGTAACAGTACTTAAGTAATTTTTCAACAAACTACTCATTTACTCTTACTTGAGTAATTTTACTTACTAATACTTTTGCTTGTACTTGAGTAAATTATCACTACAGTAACAGTACATGTACCTGACTGGTAAAGTTGTGTAATGCTAAAAAAGAAAAAAAAAAACACCTGAAGGTTAATTGGCAGCAGGTCAGTAACATCACTGGATAGAAAAAGATCATCTCAGAGAAGCTGAGTCTTTCAGAAGTAAAGATGAGGAGGGGTTCACCATTCTGTGAAAGACTGCATGATCAAATAGTGCAACAATTCAAGAATAACGTTTCTCAACATTAAATAGCAACAAACTTTTGCTTTTCATCATCTATGGTACATAATAACATTAAAAGATTCTGAGAATCTGGAGAAATCTTTATATGCATGTGGCAAGGCCAAAAACCAGTATTTGCTGGCCCTGATTTTTGGGCCCTCAGGTGGCATTGCATTAAAAACAGGCATGATTCTGTAGTGGAAATCACTGCATGAGCTCAGAAACATTTCTGAAAACTACTGTCTATGAAAACAGTTTGTCGCTGCATCCACAAATGCAAGTTAAAACTCATAGAAATCATATATAAACAGTATCCAGAAATGCTGCCACCTTCTCTGGGCCCGAGCTCATTTAAAATGGACTGAGGGGAAGTGGGAAAGTGTCCTGTGGTCCGATGAATCAACATTTGCAATTCTTTTTGGAAATCATGGACACTGTGTCCTCAGGACTAAAGACCATTCAGCTTGTTATCAGTGCACAGTTCAAAAGCCAGTATTCCTGATGGTATAGGGGTGCATTAGTGCACATGGCATGGGTGACATGCACATCTGTGAAGGCACCATTAATGCTAAACAATATATACATGTTTTGGCAACAGACGACGTCTTTTTCAGGGAAGGCCTTGATTATTTCAGCAAGACGATGTCAAACCACATTCTGCATGTATTACAACAGCATTGTTTGGCATTAAAAGAGTCCGGGTGCTAAACTGATCTGCCTGCAGTCCAGACCTGTCACTATTGAAAACACTATAAAGTGAAAAGTACAATACATGAGCCCCTGAACTGTTGAGCAGCTGAAAGCCTATTTCAAACAAGAATGAAAAGCATTTCACTTTCAAAACTACAGCAGTGTCTCCTCAGTTCCCAAACGCTTAAAGTGTTGTTGAAAGAAGAGGTGATGAAACACAGTGGTAAACATGCTCCCATCCCGACTTTTTTGGAACGTGTTGTTGTCATCAAATTGATGACATATTTTTCAAAAAACAATAACTTTTCTCAGTTTCAATATTTGATATGTTGTCTTTGTAGCATTTTCCTTTAAAATATGGTTTACTTGATTTGCATATCATTCCATTCTATTTTTATTTACATTCTGCACAGTGTCCCAACTTTTCTGGAAATGGGTTTGTATTATAATAATAAGTATATTATTTTATACTATAATTTTAATAGTAGTAGTAGTAGTAGTAGTAATAATAATAATAATATAATAATAATAATATGGGCACATTCTCATATTATTCTGTCTGAACAGAGAGACTCATTAAACAACTAGAATGGATCTACTTCAACTCCAGTATTTACTACATCTCTACTGAGAGGAAGAGCTGGAATGAGAGCAGACAGTTCTGCAGAGAGAGAGGAGCTGACCTGCTGATCATAAACAGCAGAGAAGAACAGGTGAGAGAATCACTTTTATACATAAAGTTTATAATGACTTCCTGTTCAGCTGGTATATTAGGTGATCTTAATAATAATAATATAAAAAAAGAAAAATATATATTGTAAGCCTTAATCTCATTAAAGCTTTTATTCAATATTTGTCTTGCATTTTATTTACCCCGTTCACTTAAATCTGCTTATGTCCACTTATAACGTTTATGTAGGTTTATATACCAGATACTCTATAATTCATTTTACATACAGCCTGTCTTTATCCCTTAAAATTAATTCAAGCTGTTAGTACTGATAAGACTGATATATGTAAATGATCTCTGTTCTGATTGGCTGTCCTGTATTGTGCCTAATTCAAAAAGCAGTTCAGGCTGAAACACTCCTTATAACTTCAGTGTGAGTGGGCGGGCCTAAACTGCTGTAGGAGCATATATGAAAATGCATTATGAATTTCCATATATGAACTGGAGATTGAATGTTACATTTTTAAACTTTACCGGTGTTGACGAACTACTAAACTGCATGCAGTGTAGAGAGACTTTTGAACGAACCAAATCAAACCAGCTTTAAGATGATCAGTGGTGACCTTGTGTCTGAATATAATCTCTCTTCTCTCACTGGAATGAGAATTAGAGTCACTGTAACACAAGCAGTCAACAGTCACCCCAGACATCTGTGTCAAGAGCTGTGAAAGACTCTGGTTGACTTCCTTGTTCATTACTAGGCAGTTAAATGTGAGGTTAGTGAACATGTGTATGTGGTGATGTGTTATAATGGTCATCTCACTTCAACAGGAATTTACTGCAATGTTGATAAGAGGTCAGTGGACTTGGATTGGTCTGACTTACAGAGACACAGAGAGAGTCTGGAGATGGGTGGATGGCTCAGCACTGACCACTGAGTAAGAGATCACTGAACTGAGCTCTTGTGATGGTGCAGCTACTGACTCTCACTCCTCTGATAAACACAGATACTCTGATTCTCTTTCAGGTTCTGGGGACGTGGAGAACCTGATGGATATGGACTTTGTGTCATAACTGGCTATGAATCTGATCCTATACAGAGCTGGAATCAATATCTCTGTGTGGGACGGCATGTTTGGATCTGTGAGAAGAAAGTGTGTAGTTAAATTGTGAGTGAACAGCAGCAGGTTTTGTTTTTAGACTTGCTCCTGTTTAAATTAGTATTGATCTGGGTTCCAATGATATATTTTCATTTTCTGATGGTTGGAGCATTCAGACTGCATGAAAAGATCCCTTTTTAGATCCTCAAGAACCTGACTCCTATCCTGGGTTCATTCTATCATTTGTGTTTTTTTATCTTTATCTAACAAAGTTTAAAAAAAAATGATCTTGGGCTACAAATGATCTTAACATCATAAAAACAGTACATATTTCATTGGTTAAAACATTGTAACTAGATTTAAGAAATATTCATGTAGTCTTAATTTGTTTGTGTGTGGGCTTCAGCAGACGATGCTGGACAGTACCAGTGCTCATGGGAGAGCTATGGATAAATTAACTAGCAGCAAAGTAACAAAAGCAACAGCCTAATGGAAAGTTGCATTTCAAGACATACCATAGCGGTATGAATGTGAGAGGCTACAATCACAAAGGATCTGGAGCCCTTGACTGTATATGTGATATGTAAAATACACTATATAGATAAAAGTATATGAACACCTGACCATCACACCAGTATGAGCTTGTTGGACATCCCATTGCAAAACCATAGGCATTAATATGGATTTCCCCCTACTTTGCAGCTGTAACAGCCTCTATTCCTCTCGTAAGTCATTTTACAAGATTGTGTGTCTGTGGGAATTCGGTCAAAATGAAATTTGTGAGGTCAGGCACTGAAATCGGATGAAAAGGCCTGACTCCAGTTCATCCCAAGGTGTTTAGTGGGTTTGAGTTTAAGGCTCTGTGCAGGCCAAACTCATTAAACCATGTCTTTATGCTGACGTTGCTTCCAGGGATAGATCGGAACTCTGTAGTGATGCAACAGAAGAAAGGTGATTTTTGTCCACTTTGCACTTCAGCACTCATGATCCCACTCTGTGAGTTTGTGTGGACTACCAATACTACTTTGTGATCCTCTCTGCTCTCAGTGTTTGTCTATGGAGATTGCACGGCTATGTGCTTGATTTTATACACCTGTTAGCAATGGCTATGGCGCTAATTAGGAGGGGTGTCCAAATACTTTTGGCCATACAGTGTATATACATTCATTGGTTGATAGACACAGCCACTGATGTTCTCACTAAATGTCAATGATTACAACAGGAATTTGCATTCAGTCTGTGTAAGTCATGTGATTTTCATGTTGTTTACACTCTGAAAATAATGTTACTGTATTATTTTAAGTGATAAACACATTCTGAAAAGCCGTATTTTAAACCCATAATGCAAAATTTACCATAGCCTTACTAAGGTATGTAGTCCACACCATCTGGTTGAGTCAAAGTCCCTCTTGTTTACTAGAATCCCCACAACCCCAAAGTTTTTATTGTTTTGGCTCCATAAAGTTTCAACTAAAAGCCATAAACAGGGATCAAAATGTCCACAAGTTTTATAGCTCTAAGTATCAGCCGTCCTGGTACCAGGCCCTGACAATGGGGGTTATCAACCTTTTGCCCCTAAGGTTCCACAATGGGACAATAAAAAGCTCTTGCTGGAGATCCGCAGAATGACTTGACATTTCTATAAATCTGTAACCAATACTACTTGTATGTTATGTAGTCAATTACTTAAATTATGTATCTTTTTCTCCTGTTGGATGCTAGGAATATGTTGTGTATCACTTTGATCTATCAGTGCAGCCATTTGATTATAGTGGGTTTAGAACACAGATTAGCATGTAGTCTGAATATGTATTTTCCTTTTCTTCTCATTGTTTGGATTATTTCTTCATCCATTGGGTAACGACTCTATGTCTATCTTTGATATGTTTGAATGTATTCCTAACCAGCAATACCCAGAGATTACAAGCAATGTTTGCTGGTGTCTTTTAACATTTGTTGCTTTTCAGGGTTAAAACTCTCTATTATGAAATATAAATGATAAATGAATGTCCTGTTTGTTTCCTCCCTTGGTTTTGATTGGTATTAGAATTATTTTCCCTTTTTAAGATCTAACTAGAAACAAAGGAGGGTGTGATTCTTGGGGAGGCACTCAGATTATGCATGACCAATCAGAGTGGGAAACAATGAATAACGGTTAGGTGAGAAGAATCAGCACTTGGGTTCCACCTCCAAAGGGGGCAGCCTACAGCCAGACAAAGCCTGAGTGCACAGCATTTTTCAGAGTTCTGCATTCAGAGAAGCCAGAAAAATTCATAACTTTGGTGGCGACCAAGGTCAGAAACAGAACACTTCTTCAAGTTTCGTCTCAGCCAAAGAGAGGAAGTTAGTTATGTTAGCAACAACCAGCCTCAGAAGCCTAATTGCATTCACAACCACCGCCTGCGAGTCAGGGAAGTTTAGCCGTCCACGGACTCTGGAGCCTCACCTGCAGCCACACCAGTCTGCAAGCCGACCAAACATCTGGACAGTCACAAGAGACGGACACTGCCCGGTCACTGATTGATATATTATAGATATATATCTTCCCATATAGCTCTACACGCCCATACTTAGGTTAATTCTCTGGAGGCATGTCCACGCCTAAGTATCGAGCTGCCTTCCCAGGAAGCACCCTAAACCACACCGTCTCATACTATTTTAGCCATGAATCATGTTACTTGAGCTGTTAGTTTCTTTTTACTTTTATTTCTATACATTTTTCTTTGTTTATCATTGAAGTAATTTGGGTGTAGTTTGATATTTAGCCAATACGTTTTCTTTTTACTGAAGCATCCTTGGTGTGAGTGTTTTGTCTCTCTTGCCTTGGTCTGTAGACTTTAAATAAATCCGGGTTACTCTAACTTCTTGTCTGAGCTTCAAGCAATAATGATAACATTAAATTGCTGGATAACATTACATCTATTACCATGTGCTGTTGCATATTTGTAAATCTGAAAACCTGCTCAATTTCCCAAGAGATTAGTGAAAAGAGTGAATTGTTACTCATTTCCTTAAACAGAAGACAAAAACAGAGATATATAAGATTTCAATTAATGTGTGGAAGAGTGCTTTAATAAACTAGAAAAGAAAATTTGCAAAAGAAGAATTGGTAAAGCAAATATTTGCTAGCCTCAGGGCCGCTATGGTGAGGGAGTTAGCAGCCGGCCAATGCTGGAATAGCCAGCCAACATGGGGACCCCCTGACTACCAGGGAGTATTTCACACACTGGTTACAAACACAGTTTGTCAGATCAAGTTAGACAAGTGACCTGCCTAAATTTAACCACAGGAACCATTTCTAGTGATCTACAAACATAAATATGTTACACAAATATGACAATCAATCAAAACAGTAAAGACAAAGGTCAAGAAGTAACTTACATTTGTAAACTGCTTGGTTGGCAGGAACAACCGCTCTGTCTGCCATGACTCTGCAAGACAGCTGACTTATGCTGCCTTCCGAATGGGACAGCCTTCATCTCAGGAACATGCAAATGCTGCCTTAAAATCTTGCCTACTTAGACAGCTGCCTCCCGATTGGACTGCACTAATTGACCTTACATATGGACTCACATACATACTGGCACACACTTATTCACATATATTAGCAAACACATGGATACCACAGCAATTGCCTTGCAACACCTTAGCAACCCTCTGTGATACCACAGCAATTTAGTAGTCACACGTTACCAATCACCTAAGACACCATAGGAATGGCCTAGTAGCACCATCACACCACCTGGGATAATGTATATAGCAATGGCCTAGCAACATCTAAGCAACCACCTGGAATACCACAGAAATGGCCTAGCACCACCTTAGTAACCACCTGGGATTTCATACCAACAGCTTTGTTGTTCACAAACTTTCCCCATCTGGTTAATCTCTGCTGGTCTTATAAAAATCAAGACATAATATCCTGCGTTAGTCAAGAAAGACCTCACAAACCTTCTTTCATTCTTTCAATGTGAATTACTGAAACACTTTAAATGTCTGTTTCCTATTACAGCTCACTGCAGGAAAACAGGCCAAATGTCTCCAGAGATCTCAGTATGAAAGCAGTCCGCAGTTCAGAAAAGGTTAAAAGTCCCTGGCTTGCAGTCTTAATTACTATCACAAGAACGATATTATAGCTGTTATGTGAAATTGACTTGCAAAACATGCCTTAAAGTTTAGGTTACAGAGAAAGTGGAATATTTTCATACAATGCCGTGTGCTGTAGTACAGGATGAATGTACAAACAATTCTTTATCTTGGCACAAAAATCTGATGCATTTGTAAGTGTCAAATACTATAGGATACCTTAAAAGGGAATTTTACCTATTTTTCAAAGTTTTTTGCATAATTAAGTTGTGCAATGATTCAGATAAACTGAATAAACCTACATACTCAGATTTCTTTACAGTGGGGTGATAGGAACCAGTCATCATGTGTACACAATGATCGATATATAAATAGATCTATATTCCAAAATACCACTAAAGTATAATAACAAAGTACAATTGAATTTCCTTCCAAAATGCTGTATATCCATTTGTAACAAGTTTGGATATAAAGAGTAAAGATCAAAGAATAACAGCTGGTGTTTACTGGAAAATGCTTTTTCTCTGATAAAAGTGGGTTTAAACATAATAGAACATTACTATTTCGTATATGTGCAGTGGCCACTTCCAACAATGTAAATCATCAAGAAAACAAGAAAATATTTTTGAATTGCTTCAGTATTTTCCACCTACTTGAAGAAGAGAAAGTAAAAAAGTAAAAAAACAGAGCACCAGTGTTATGTAATTATTTTACTTTAGACAGAGCCAAAGACCAAAGTCAAATGAAAGAAATGAAGAAAAACAGGAGTTTACCAAATTGATAAAAGTTAATATTAGTACAATTTCTCTAAAGATTTAGAGAAAATGGGACTCTTAAACACCATGCAGGACCTGGTAGACCACAAAAACTGTCACTATCAGATAAACAGTACTTAAACCTTTCATCTTTGAGAGAGAGGAGAAAATCAAGCTTCACTTTTGTTTCAGATCTGAAAAAAAAAAAACTTCATAGGTGTTTCT